TTCTCTCACAGTTGCATATATTAATTTTGTAACAGGTACATTACATGACACATACGGTCCCAGTCACACAGAGAGCATACGGAGCGCCGCGTTACCATCTGCCACCAATTCTATTTCTTTTTATAACAGGTTTACTCATCGATCGAAGATCGTTCATGGTATCGTTGAGAAAAAAGTTCCACATAACTAGAATGTTTTTCTTTAAAACGAAAAAGTTCTCTCTAAACCTAATACTTTGGAAGCCTTGGGGGAGAAAGAAACTCTCGACGGTTCCCATGGTTCGGTTAATTGGTACAAAGGTCTGATAAACGACTGACTCGAGCTCGTATCCCAATCTAGCGATCCGATCGTTCGATGCCTGTTCTCCGCGCAGTATCGTATTTCAGTTGTCACGGTCATTAAAACAAGTAATTATCAGAACAATTCAATATGAGGTATACGAAACTTTCAAACGAAACGAAAAAAAAAAAAAAATAAGTACAACAGGGAAACGGTAACGCGGTCCACCGTGTGGCGTATGTGAAACGGGAACCCTTTATAGATTGCGTGTGCTCACCAAGTATGCACGTTCAGTACAGTACAGTCGTTCATTACAAAGCATTACAATACAATACAAAGTAGCGTAGAGTTTCATAATGGTAGTCCACTTGTAGCGAAATAGTATTTAAACAGTCCAAGCAGACAAAAAAACCGGAAAAAAAGACACATAATCGACAAAAAAATTGCAGCTAACCGTAACACTGAATAAACGTAAAAAAAAAAAAATGGGATAAAAATCGATCTTCATGAAGTACATGCAAGACCACGCATACACACTCACACATACACAAAGGTCACACTCACTCGCACACTCATTGGCACCAAACATTTGCGATACATGGGTAAAACGGAATCGTGCGCTCGAGTGTATCGCGAGAAAAATATCACGACGCTTCGAAACAAAAGCAATGGTAAAACGAAAGGCATCTATTTACATACACACATACACACAGAGGACACACGTACATACGGTATACAAAATTACATAAAAGACAGATTTCGACGGCCAAACGAGAGAAAAACGCGACCGCGTGAGCTCACTCTCGGGGAAGAGGGGAAGTTAGGAAGAAGGGTCGACGACGTCTGACCGTAAAGATACGTCGGCGAAACCAGATTTATATAACGTATATTGTATTATGTATGTCGATATACGATCGCATATATCGATGGAAAAACGAAAGTAAACAAAAGAAAGAAGAAAACGTAACAGGAGAAAAAAAAATACGATGTAAAAAAGAAAAAAATGCCGGACAGGGTGGAGATCGAGCGTCCGCCTCCCCATCCCCCTTTATGCACACATTACACACGTTTACACACAGAGACACGTTACACACACACACGTACAGAGAATATACGTCGACGGACGTGTCGACGGTGTTTCGTTTTGAAAGTACCTTGCGCGAGTCGTCTCGAATCGTTTAGTACAAAATGGAATTATGCTCTCGGTGGACGAGATGCGTGCGATCCACGTTCCACGCGGTTCAGACCAGGGTATCGAGCAACCAAGTCCGCGGATTCGATATGAGAAACCAGGTTTCCCTTTTCGTTTCTTTTTTTTTTCTTCTGTTGTTGCGTTTTAATGCCACCGGCGACGACGGCCACCATATCCGCGTGGGTTGTTGCGAACCGAACTAAGATTCACGGTGCCGTAACGGGGGTGAAGGTGGGCGGGGAGGGAGGTGGTGGTAGATTTGAAGAAATCGCGTATAACGCACATTCTGTTCCAACTACGACAAGCATCAATGGGTTCCTGGGATACAAAAAAAGTTTCTAGCGCAACAAAAAAGAAAAAAAGAACGATGCTTCAAGAAATAATTTTTTTCTGTAAAATTCGACGAGACAATGTCGCGGCGGCACCGTGAACCTGTTCGCGAGTTCGTTTGAAATACGTGTATATTTTTTGTACGAATGGAGAACGCGACGACGATGATTTCGCGAAAAAACCGCTTGTGGAAACACGTTCTGACATCACCGACTTTGTTACGCTGATTTATCAGAAAGATTTTTATCGATGTTAGGTGTGTATTATTGAACGTTACTTGTGATTACAATTTTTAGAGGATTTGTAAGCGCGAGACGCGATAGGAGCTTGGATATATTGGATCTCGCGTTGTTTTTCTTTTTTTGTTCGAAATACAAAGTTTTATTCGATATCTCGTATTAGGAATAATTTGTACGTGTGTTTTGTTGTCTTTTAATTTCATGCGATACCGTTTCGCCACCCCCTGGTGAACGCGATATCCGCGATTCTAACGCACAGAAATAAACAAAGGTTCCTCCGCTTCGAACGAGCTCCTCTTGCGTCCTGGTGCGTAACTTCGGACGAAATGAAACAAAAACTGCCATTTTTAATTAAATATCGTCGATCCCCGCGAAAGATTGATAAATTATTGATAGTCGTAAATTATTCGTTGCCCTAATCCTGCGGAACGATTGTGTAAAGAGAAATGAGAAGGTTAGTGCGGAGGGAAGGAGGAATGTCAGAGATCGCGGCGAAAGCGGATGTTCGGTTCGATCGCATTTTTCTTTTTTTAACATTTTCGCGAGTCTTTCGGTACTGATCATACGAGCAAAAGAAAAAGAAATCGCTCCAATTCGTTCCATCGTAATCGAAACGTCGTCTCCCATGGACGAACGCGCTACATTCACGAGCAGTACATCTTGCAAAGCACATAATATCCACGATTTATCAAATATCGTTAAGAGATCGGTCGATCGATTAAAAGGAAAATACATTGTTTCGTGTGTTCGTAGACTACTATTGCTGGCAAATTTCTTGTGTATCGTAAAATAATTTCAAATATTTTACACAAGGTGTACCAAAATGAAACCATCGAATAATGTAAAAATGAAAAAGACTATATACATATATAGGTATATAGATAGAAATTATTTTTGCAATTTAAGGTGCCTCTATGAATTTAATGACTGCTTTCTTTAAAGTTTTGAGCAGTAAAAATGACGAATGTCATAACGTAGACCACAGAAACTGAAAATTCATCCCTTTCACAATTGGCGCGTTTTTATACTGTGACATATTTAAGAATTTATTCATAGGATATACTAACGCAATTCGATTGTTTTATTCTGGGACACCTATGATTGATCAACTGTTTCGGTTATTTACACACAAACAGAACATATCAATGATACTTTTTTATATCCCGGACGTATTGGGTAATTTTTGGAGTAATCGAGAAACGATACGGAACGATAAACTGTAAAAAAAAAATAAATAAACGTCGAGTCTATGGGATATCGTGTGCTTTATGGGATCGAATGTACATACATAGCGTATACATAATAGGAAAATTGCGGCGGCGTGTAGTGTATGAAATCTCACGATTCGCGATGCCGAGAAGGAAGATGATTATGTTTCGAGGCGCGCCCCCCAAAACGTTGGGTCACGCGGCCATGCCACTTGTTTTAATCGATTCGATCCGATTAATTATGCCTCGAATTTCATTCGCCTAAGATTTTGTAACCGTGTATGCTTCACAGACAACGAATCTCTCGACTTGCCAAACGACTCGCGTCTGACAATAGTTTGCGATCCTTCGATGCGATTGTTTCGGTGCAGACTTTTTTTATTACGTAAGACAGAATTTACAAATGAAAGGATAATAGCCTAAAAATAAAAAAAAACATGTGTTTTATGCAAATTCTTTATGTTTGTTGATAACTGAGATGTCGTTCTGGAGTAATTTTTATGTCAATACAACCATTATCGTGGGATTTTGATGATTCTGTGTTTTCGTTTTAAAACTACGACGATGAAAGATCGGTTCCTCTGTCGCGCGTTAATCGACATGTATGAAATTCCCGGTATGGCAGATTTTACTTTGTTTCTTGAACTTACGCTTTTGCGTGTACGTTTCGTAAACGTGCTGTATTATAAGTTTTGTCTTACACGCGTATTGTACTTCAACTGTAAAAAGAAATAGCATTGACATTTCTGATTTAAACAACAACAAAAAATGCAACGACAAGCGGATATATTTTGAACGATTAGAATTAAGTTCCGAGTATTAGCGTTAATCGATGCCATTTCCGTGCCATCGCTTTCCTTCGTAAGCGCTCAAAATAGACTGTGGATTTGGTTCTGATCCATTCGATGAGAAAAACTTATTATCAAACTCTGGTCCTAGAAAGCGATTCGATTTATTTGCGAAAGAATTGGATAGATTCACGGAGTGGAGAAAAGACGGTGAGGGTGAACTGAACGAAAGCGATGCTCGATTTGAAGCGCGCGAATCACTACTACCGCAAAGTTCAAAATTATCGGAAAGAGTACGAGAGAAAAGGAACACTTTAGGCAAGACGGTAATCGAAGTAAGGTATACAGACTTCTTTGTGAAAGTAAACGCGATGGGGAAAATACTATTATCGGGCGATAGGCGATGTTGTTTCACTTATCCGCGGAGAGGTACATTCGCGGTCCTAAGATCTAAGCATAAGAAAATGAAAATTCCCAAACACAAAAAAAGAAGATTCGAAACGAAGCACGAGAAATGATGAGAGAAGGACGTATTTGAAAGGCCTACGTATTGTCGCACTCGTTTGAAAACTTATTGCAAGAATGCACACGAAGTAGCGTACACTCGCTGTACCGTTTGTTGACGCGAATAAACACGCGAATTAAAAGTCGATTTGATTTATATGTACACGGTGAGCCCGAGGTTCGCGCGAGGACACGCGCGTTTATGCTGGAACAAGAGAGAACAATCTGCCGATCGATCGATACTCGTGTGTTTCTCTGTTTGACTGCCAGTTGCGCGAATCAATCAATCACCGAGCCGCTTCTTTCGCGTAAGCGCTAATGTCCTCTGCTGCGATAATTGTTATTATACGAACGAATTCAAGACGGCATGGTATACAAGACTAAGAACAAGACCTAAAATGGGGACATAATATTTTATAACTCAACTTTTGTACAGAATAAATAAATACTTGTACTGTGGACCAATATTTGTTTTATTTCATTAGCATTCCGATGAATAGAAATCGAATACGATGACCCCAGGAATCACTGAATAGAGTATAATGAATAGACCATAATTATAATAACAGTAGACTGTAACAAATGGCTGTAAAAAAAAAGTAAATAATCTCTTTAATACATAAAAACGTTTCTCTGTATTAATTGTATCAAAAACTATACGCTCTGTACAACGAATGAACATTCATTTACAATTGCAAATTCTTCAATTTTTGTTGCATAAACTATTTATTTTTCGTTTGAACTAATGGTATTATAACAATACTATTTTTCGCTTCTGGTATACGCCACCATCTACCAAGCCTATGTTCTTGACCAACCCCAGCGATAAGTTCAGTTCCATCCGGAGTGAAATATAGTGAGTTTATGAAGCCTGGTAATTGAATTTCGAATAGTGGACTCAACGACCTGAAGGAGTCTGCACATTGCCATAATTTTATAGTGCCATTTCGTGAACCTATTTTATACAAAATACAAGAAAATTAATAATTCTTTTATACATATATAATGTCTATAATATATCGACAGAAATATAATCAGTACCCGACGCGACTAGATCTGTATTGAGTAACGTGGCTATACTGGAAATCCACATTGGCTGATTGTTCGTTTCGTCCCGTCCATGTGCATTTGGCACCGAGCATAATGGTTTCTTTTTTAAACAACCCCAGACAGACAACTGTCCATCGTCTCCACAGCTAAAGAAATTTTCTTCATTTATAAGCTTCACGCTATCTATACTGCCACCGTGTCCATTGAATATGAGTTGTGATTCTTCTACAATTTTCCAAATTCGAATCGTCCCGTCAAAACCACCGCTCGTAACAGCCCGTTCCCGTGCGAGTGCATCAATCGATGTGATGCCGCTTTGGTGACCAAATCTGCAGAACGAATAAAAGGATAGTATTTCCAGAATAGACTTATGCATAATCACACGGAGTATCAAAGTTACTAACAAAGATTCAACATATGCCATATCATCCAAATTCCATACTTTTACGCTTCTGTCTTCAGAAGCAGAGTATAACGTGTGCGTGTCCTTACGGAACACCAAACCAGTCACAGTGCCTCTGTGACCTTGCAAATTCTTTATGTGGTTCAAAGTGTCAGCACTAAAAACCCTAATATCTTTGCAGCCCTTATCTCCTAATACCTTTAAGTATACAAATTACATTTGAATTGTAGTTATAAACATGAGCATGCTACATTTAAAAACTTTTGTATACTCTCACCAAAAATTTACTATCAGAGCTTACAGCCATACACTGTACACACTTTATTCCATCTTGAGTTTTTCTTTTCCCCTTGATGGCTTTTAACTTAGTTCTTTCTTTTAACGACCCTAATGTGTAATGCACAGTAAAATATAGTTATATGTAACATATTTAATAATGAAATAACTATAGGTAATATACATTTAACTAAACCACCATCCTTTGAGCCAGAATATAAGAATTTCCCATTGCCAGAAAGGCATATACAGGTAATAGAATCTCTGTGTTCTTTACATTTCAAAACAATTGGTTCACTGTGACTAACATAATTTGATGCTACGGTTTTTCGTAATCGTCCTTTTTCTTCCAAATATTCTTCGTGTAACCTTTTTGTGACTGCTCCTTGTTCAAATTCTGCTCTATCTCTCTCTAGATTTCATAAAACTAAAGTTAGAAATTAATAATACATAACATCTCGACAATACTTTATTAGGAATATACCTTCTTCTTCAATTCGCTCAAGATATTTTTTTGCCAATCTCACACGCTTTTCCTGTGCAGTTTCTTCTTCATCTTCATCACTTTCGTATTCTTGAAATTTATTTCTGCAACGTGAAATAATAATTAATGTAGTAAATGCATTCTTAAATTCTTGAGGGTACACTAATCACTACACACTTACCTATCATTTTCTTCTGCAAGTTCTTCATCTGTACTAGCAATACTTTCATTGTCATTGGGTACAGATTTCTTTACACTCTTCTTTTTTCCTTTAGTCTTTCCGACATGACCATTAATCTACAGAATTAACACAGATATTTTGTTTGAAATATTATATCATAAATATATTTTAAAATGCAGTAATAAATTAATATATAAAGAACTGTATGTACCAACGTAAATACAAAGATTTTAATTAATTTATAAAGAAACAGAAATATATAATGTACCTTCCTTTTATTTCCTCCAGTGGTCTGATTATTTCGAATAAAAAATGACATAATGAATTAAAAATACTCTTGAAAATGAATAACCTGTTCAGTTTAACCACATGGCATGTGCATATATCATGTATACACAAGTATTACCAACATATAGTCACAAAAGTGCACAAAAGTTCCTATTGGGTACAGTACAGTGCAGTGTCAATAAATTGTCACACTAAATACTTAGTGTACAGACAAGGTATAGGAATAGACATCTCATCTAATGTATTCTTGCGGCCCACTTTTCTGGCATTACATTACCCCATTTCCATTTTAGTGTCACCACAGACGAGATATAAGAATAGACCTAACATCTTATGGAACTTGGTGTCCCACGAAAATCACGCTGATTCGATTCACTCTACATAAAAGTTTCCGACTTTAAGAACTACGATAGATGTTCTGAAACTGGTATTTTATCCAAACGAGGTTCGGTTCATTGGCGTACGAATCGAATGTCCCTAGATAAACTACGTTACGCACATGTACTGTGGTACCACCACCGACTAGGTATATGATAGACCTGGATAGACCTATCATCATATAGGACTTCGTGTCTCATGTTCTGAAATACCGATAGTGTAAAAAGTCAGGGATTTTTTGCTGCCCTCTACTATATTATTGACATTATGGAATATTTTTTTGTCTGCAACCAATTTTGAAACGAACTAGGTGATCATTTTGTCATACATAGGTGTTTATAACTGGTGATGAATGAATTGTTATTGTTAGTCTTGTTTTCTCAAAAGTGAATGATAATTAATAATAATAAATCGAAGAGATCGCTGCCGCATGTGGCAAACGGATTCTCCTCTGTCCGTTCGTTGTAAACGTATTAAAAAAAGGTCTTCTCACTTTACATAAAGCAGGCTTGGGTACTTTTGATTTGAAATGAAAACTACAAATAAAAACAGCCAATATTTATTCCAAATAAAATAACAGATAAGTTTATTTGAAAATAAGGATATATGCAAATAAATTCCAAAATCTTATTTCAGAAATAAATTATTTCTAAATAATTATTTAGAAATAATTATAACATATAAGTATATGTAATAATATAGAATAAAAATATACTATTAGTCCGATATTTGAAAATATGCATGCGTTCGTTGTCACTGTTAAACTGTTGTAATAACAATGGAATAATAAAATAATTTACTCAAATGTACATAATAATACATATACATATCCATAAAAACCATATTAAACGCAATAACTTTTTTGTACGTGAAGAAAAACTAATATAGGTCCGTCGGGATGCGAACCCAAGACTCCTTTCTAATACGTTTACTTTATAGCGAACGGACGGAAGAGAATCCGTTCACGACCATCGTCCCTTCTTAGATTTAACGTAGTTCACAAATTCACCGTTCTCATAACGTAGAGGGCAGCAGAAAATCCCTGACTTTTTACACTATCGGTATTTCAGAACATGAGACACGAAGTCCCATAAGATGATAGGTCTATCCTATACCTAGTCGGTGCTTATACCTTGTCTGTGGCAGTAGGAACCATCGTGTCTCTACTATATCGGTAACGTTGGGGTTTGTCACCGATATGGTAACGGGGTTCTAGAACACCTCAATATCTGGTCACGAAAGAGCATTGGGTGACAGATCTATTCATGTACCTCGTCTGTTGTTCTCCTGTCAAACGTGACATGAATTTTTATTCAAACTTCACATGTCTGACCGATAACCTAGTCCAATAATTAGAACGGAATGGGTATTTTCTTTGCGAAGAAGAAACCTCCGAGTCGTGTCACGGAACAAGACAAAGCTGTTTTGGTACGTTCTCTTACAAACTTTCTAACCTCTCCACTGTCGTTACAGTTGTCCGATAGAATACAGTTATTTTACAGCAATTAAAACAAACGAGGGATAAAATTAAGCAGTATCAACGAAAAATCGAACAGACACTTGAAAAAGATCGATTACTTGCTAAGAAACTTATACAGAATGGACGAAAAGAGTGAATATTATGTTTCTTTATATTCATAGTTTTGTTTAATTGTTTGGAATACATTTATTCATTGACACAATATTTTTTTCAGTCGAGCATTACTGTTGTTACGAAAAAAGAAATTCCAAGAGCAATTATTATTCAAGACTGATGGACAGCTTGAAAATCTTGAGCGTATGGTACATGATATAGAATTTGCACAAGTGGAACTGAAGGTTGTCGATGGACTTAAAGTCGGCAATGTTGCATTGAAAAAACTACATGATTTGTTGTCAATTGATGAAATTGAAAAGGTCATGGATGAAACCAAAGAAGGCATTGAGAAACAGAAGGAGATTGATGACGTTTTGGTAGGAGCTCTAACAGATGAAGATGAAAGCGAAGTTGCAGCAGAGCTTGATGCCTTAATAGCAGCAGAAGTTGATGAAAAAACACCGGAAGTACCAGGAGACATAACATTACCAGAAATACCAGAAGAACTACCAGAAAAGAAGAAAGGTAATGCATTAAATGGTTGTAATCCTATGTCTTTTTATAGGACAAATGTTTAATTATTCATTATTTATTTTTACAGAACGTACAAAAGAAAAAATGCCAGAAGCCATTGCTCTAGAAGCATAAGTGAACATTAACTATCATTAGCAAAGTTTTTATTCTATTGGCACTTTGCCCAGGGGTCTATGTATATATGTACAGTACCTTGTGTGTAAGGCTGGACATGAAATTTAATTCATGTTACGAGATCAGTATAATATAATTGGAAGAAAAGAAGTTACTTTTATCGAAGAAATGTTGTTTGAAGACTGTTTTCCATTATACAGTGTGTGTATGCGATTTCAATACAGTGAACAAAAGATTCAAAGCAATGGATATGTGATTCAGACAAATGTATATTGTTCATTCACAAAGTTAAATGTGTCATGTATGTATGTTACACAATGTTAATTATATTTGTACTGCTTTGTATGTACAAATACATTTTTATCTTATTATTGGCCTCTTATATTTAGGTGTATAAAAAATGCAAATGATTAAAAAACTTTAATAAAACGTGGTTTTATTTACTACACCTCGTCAGAAATATTGAATACCTTATAAATTTGCGTTAAATTATTTAAAATCAGAATGCAAGTACGAGAAATTTTATTTGAAAATCGATAATAGATTTCAGATTAGACAGTGTTACTTTTATTTTTAAGTTAACATGTGATAATTTCAACATATGAATATTATATACGTTATAGGAAACGTATAAATTTTAATACGTTCAACTTACGCTTCATTAAATTTTCTTGTGTACCGAATGATGTACACAATACGTGTGTATTTCAAGTAGAATACAATGTTTGCTGATGTTTTTGTTCATTCGCAGATTATAATAATAATTACACAAAAATAGAAAGACGCGCGTAACAAGTCAGCGAAAAGAATTCAGAGTCCGATAAGATAAACCACTCGTAGTGATCTAGGTGCTCAAATATACCGTCTACGAAATATTTCTCATCTACGTAACTACTGGACTTAGTCTAATGCATTTGCTCGTTTATGATACCATGAAACTATTTAGAAATACGCAATATGCACAGTAGATATAATAAGAAGCCTATGATTTAATTAAACAAATAAAAAAAATTTATTTTCTCATGTTATCGGTAGTAGTGAACCTTATTCTTTATTTCTTTGCCTTTTAACTGCAGAAAAGAGATTTACATGTGGATTATAATATACGTAATAGATAGTTGCTCACATTATTATAAGGTAATATTTGAATTACCATGTCCTTTTTATTTCGTGATTTTTATTAATAATTATATTAAATACGTAATTTATTAATTGATTCACTGGATGATTCACTTCTATTATTTAAATTTTAAATTCATCTCCTTACGGAAAAACAAATAAAAAACGAATTCTTTTTACATGTATGTACTTACCTAACTAGATCGGACAAACCAGGAGTAATTGTGCTACCAGACGTCAGAATTAAATATAATTTGACCTGTTCTTCATGGTAATTTACATAACAAGACAAACACTTCATAGACAGTAGATATTAAATGTCACGTACGTGGGATGGTTTCTCTAATTCGGACAAGATCACGCTTCTTATATTAACATTAATAATATGCTCATTCTTGAATTTAAAATATTGCATTACTTAAGCGTGTTACAACTGATATAATATGATACTTACAAAGGAAATCAAAAACATTTAGAAATCAAGTAAAAAGGTCAATAGAGAAGACACTGTTAATTCAGAGTCAGTAAAGAAACTTTTTTAAACAGAACAGTTCTAATGGGATCTCTTAAGCAGAAGAATTATCTCTCGTTTATGAGAAATTATTGTAATTTTCCTTTGGAATTTTGGTATGGATGTAACTTAGTTACGTTGTCTATTTTATTAAAGCAAATATTACAATTTCGTAATACATGCTATTCTATTTGAATAATAATGAAACTTCTAATTTTATATGACACCACCCTATAAAATACGATGTTAATTATAAGAAAGTCATCTCGTATAATTTGGTAAACCAATACTTGTACAACATGAGGCTGAAGAACGCTTAGCATTTCTGCAATCAAGTTTTAGATCCGGTTGTGCAAATATTCGCAAACGATTTGGATTTTTCCATTCGTCTACTTTATCCGAAGATTTAAATTCATCTTACGTAAAAACGCTACTACATTGAATGTAGAAGTTATTTTCATACATCGTGACATAATCAGGATAGATGAATTTTTATGTTCTGGAGGACATCATTCTTTAATAGGTTCATTCACATCAACTTTGTTTTTGTTGTAAATCCCTGTTGCAAAATCTTCGTTCTTGCTTGTTTTCATAGCGATTACTAAGCATGCCGCACAATATTTAACATTTTGAATATTCCGTCGTACGATGCAAAGGTAACGCAACCTTTTAAGGACCTCGTCTGAAGTTTATTTGCACAAGGAACAACGCCACTTGAATGCAAGATGTCCAGTGTGCTTAACTTCATCTGTGAAATCCAGATAAGACCAGCTTACGGCGCCAATAACAACGTTCAAATTGCGTTAACAAATCGTTTGGCGCCTAGAGAATCGTTTTAGTGGCATCCAGCGATTAACACTATTTCAATGGTCAGGGCCACTCGACCCGACAGCGTAATTGTGGTGGTCGTGTAATAATCACTGATAATCAATTATCGATGCTCGATTAATCCTATTGACTAAGCGTGGCACGAACAAACAAATCGTATACGAGCCTTTTGTTGTTAAACCAATTTACAACACCCGATGACTTGCGCGTGTATGTCACTTTCCATTAATGTTCCGAGTTTTCGAAATATTTTCGTTTAAAGAATCATTTTGTCCGTATATCAAGATCTCTCATTATGCCAGGAATTGGCCTTTCACGAGCTTCAAAGTTGCAAGAAAATCACTGTGATTAGAGATTGGAAATCACGGGAGATCCGACGAATAAAATGCCGCCAATTAACAGGAAATGCTCAAGCAGTGTTGCTGGAAAATCGTGCTGGGTAGTGGCGAACGATCGCAAGCTGGTACACGATGCTAGTGGTAATTTGCAGGAAGTATCGCGGTGTCTTGATATTTAAAGTGACGCCTATACGGATCAGCGGTTCGGTATTTAAAACCGGACGACCTTCGTGAATGGGAGAGACGAAGAGAAAGGACGAACGGGATCCCTTGACTAACCTTTTCGTCAAACTCCATCCTTGTTCTTCCAACCTCTGATATTACAGTCTCATCCGGCTGCGTGTTACAGTTCCGGATTGTTCAGACAGATTCACAAATGTCTTATTTATTCCTCGTTATTCTACACCGTTCGAATTACTTTCCTTGATGTAATAATCCCGGACGATAGCTTGTTGCATACCATCGACACCTGCAGCAGATCTCGTATCAGAATAAATATAAAATCATTTATCGCTTTCAAATATATTCTCGAATGCTATTGTTTGTCCTCACAACAACTAACGTAACTGTAAGACGGGTTTAAACTACTTTAATTCGATGCTCTCTTGCGTCATGGAGTCCTCGAATTTTTTAGCTCGCGACAAATGGTTATCTTAATGTGGTCACTTGTATCGCGACGTAATTTCCAGAATATCCTCAGTGATTTCATCGACTGAAAATGATTCTGACGATATTCTTTCTATATTCGGATAACAGCATTCAAAAGTGTCGATCTTGCTATTAACATCGATTACCTGTTAGTTAACGTTGACATTACCGTAGCGAACGGAATAAAGAACGAATTTACAGAATTCAAGACGCAATTTCGTGAAATATTTCATTCAGATAAGAAAGCATTTTGGCATGATGTATAACATAAAATTAAGCTGTTCCTTGTTGTTCCGTTTGTTGATCGACAAATATTGTCTTGTCTGAAAAGGCAAGAGTATGAAACTGAAAACATTGTACCTTTTGGAACGGTACTATGATGAAATAAATCGATTTAAGTGTTTGCTGTTAAAAAAATAAATATTTGCGTTTTGACTTGTACTCTCATTATTTGGATCAGTCCTCTACTACCAATTTATTATAAGATTGTAAATATTTCCATCTGGAAATCGAGCGTTTTCTCGTGTAATTTCGTGGTACCTGTAACCATTGTGGTAGTTAACATGTTAAGAATCTACTTTTTAATGTTAAAAAATATTTTAAATCTCGAACCTGATCGCAGGTCATGTCTCACAGTATATACCTAAATTTAATTAATCATTTCATCTCACGAAAAGTTGCCACCCATTTCTAGCAGTCTCGTATGAAATACCCGTCGTCGCGCAGAATAATTCGCGAGAGAGAAGCATATTCCTTATCTCATTCAAACTATCGCAGATAAAACATTGGGCCGTGTCGGCTTATCTGAGTCGCATTACGTGACGCTTTTCAAGTAAGCTTTCCAGGTTACCCTGTGCACCCTATTCTTGTGGATATCAGGTCTGTTGCAACAGTGCTCGGTAAAATATACTTTCGAGTGCTCTGTAAATATATTACAGTTTCAATGTGATACTAATGAATGCATCATTTTATAATTAATTACATACAAATTGGAATAAATGTTCGTTCGACAATTAAATAGAATTTCTAATTTCACTATATTCATTTTACGCGTGATAGAAAATGTTTCCATACGTCTGTCATGGATACAAGAAAGTCACGTTTAAATATTAGTTTATATTTAAAAGTTTCGTCAGCGATTCTTCGTGCAATTACGTTGTTTTTATAAATCCACATGCTTCTGTTATGAAAAATACGGTCCATTGTTTTGCCGAGACAGCGTGTTCCTTCTTTTCATTTTTACTCCGAATGAAAACAACGATTCGTCTTACGATAACATTAACAACGCGCCAATCAGTTGAAATTGCTTCCTCTATTGATTTGCATACATTGATTCACATTCGCCGCCGCTGCAGTGTTGAATTTGCATCGAATTACTCCTAAATCTACTCCTTTGATTTGAAATATGCGATATTCCAGGCAGATTTCTCGTACAATGTAAGCACAGTTTCACGTGTTCACATTCTTCGTGCATCGCGGAAGTGTTCGGAACAGAGTGATGCTTCTCTGCATGAATTACCATAAATTAAAATCATGTTTCCTTAAAATTCTGTATAACATTTCTCGATGATAGTAATTTCTACTTCGATGAATCCATAATTCAAATTGGCTCCACACAATTACTGTACAAGAAGTAATTCTGTAGTCAATGGAGATTAACGAGCGTGTAACACGAGCATGTTATCTACTATCACTCGAGAAGTTATTCGGTCTCTATATCCCTAGCTTTTAAACACGAAACGATAAAAAATTAATCCATTAGTTAATATCGAAACATAAAATACACTTAAGTGATTGTAGAAAAAAAATGTAATCGCTAAAGTACGTTCTAGTACGTTCTCAAGTACAATCAACGTACAATAGGATCCCCCATAATGAAGAAGACACATTCCGCGTTATACGAGATCCAGAGGTCAGAAAGTTAAAACTGAATAAAAAAGTTTCGTCTAATATAACAGAAAATAATATGCATTTTATTTTATTCAAGAACATCAAAAAAGTTTTCTCATTATATGTATGGAATAACTTAATCGGTTTATACGGAGTTCTATTGTAAATACAAATCGGCACACTCTAAGAACCTTTCATTTTAGTTGAAACATTTTCAAACACACTGAGCAAGGCACGAATACATATAATGTATTAGTAATTAAGAGAAAATCCAAAGTGAAAGTTGCTCTCCGATCCAAGTATCCTTCTTTCTTTGCAACTAATAAGTAGTTTTCTTCTTCCAAGGCAATTCTAAACTACTGATCACCCAGAATTGGAATTGATTTCTAAAACTGCATCGAAAATTATGGTGTCAGAAAGACTCAGTTCATTGATAAACGATGAGGTGAAAGCTTTACTTAGCGAGATTACGCAGGGGAGTGGCCGACGCAGGAACTCTCGTTCAGTCTTGGAAAAAAACAAACTTCTCCCATTAATTGGACAAGAGGAACAATGGAGTAATGTCCCACGTACTGGCAAGTCGAAATGCGTCATGCTTATATATAGGACGATACACGTGACATTGAAAATTAAACCAAATTAATATTCCGGAAAAAAGGCCCTTAGAAGAAATGTAACAATAAAGAAGGTGCTGTAAAGAAGTCTGAAAAATAGAGCTCGAATTGACTTTTTCAAATAAATCAAATTAACATCTTTCGTATATCAATGTTTGTGACATACATTGATAAATGGTTAATGTCGTGAAATAACTACATTCTCTGGTAAATTACGCTTATGGACCCATAATTTACATACGTAACACTCATATAAATTACTAACTCGCGTTGCTACATATTCGTATGTCGAAACCCTTAAAAGATAGCTGTACGTTAATTAACGACCAGGAAACGGTATTTTTTCAAGTGCAGTAACACTTCGGTGTCTGTGATGAATTTATCGTTTCGTCGATATAAATCTAATGTGTATCACAGTATAACAAAAAGTAGAACACAAACTTCTGTCGATGTATGCTACAAGTTTCAATCAGGAAAGTATTAAATCGGTGGAAAATAAATGACCAATCACCACTCAGGTCGGTATTATTTAAATCCCTTCCATTTCACAAAAATGAATCAGAATACTGGGCATGACAATTCATTTTAATTCTACAAGCACTAATCTTAATCACTCCCGAAAAAGATATGAATACCTACATATATTTTGCAATTGCAACAGGACCAAGAACCCTAATACAGTGATCCCTCGATTAATGTGACAAGAGCATCGTCGTTATTTCCACAAAATAAATTTAAAAAATAAATGTTTCAGAGCCTGCAAACCTTTCCGCGTTGCCATGAATGCTCCGAAGTGGACCCGAGTACGTCGTACTCATCGAGACGTTACTGTACATTCAACCGACCATTCCACCTACCTAATATTTATTTTGTCACTTCGAAAGGATGATTTACGCAAAGAAACCGTTCCGTGTTCTTCGTGGTACAATCTTCTGTAACAATAATCGGGTTGTAAAACAAGTTGCAGTGGTTCGATGAATCATTGTGTGTACGGATCGTAGGAACCGTACCATCGAGGTGGGACACGCTGCGAGGTTGTATAAATAGATCGAGACACGAAAGAGTCATTTTCGTTTGGAGAACATTAATTGTATCGTTACTCCAAATGAGGTTGGGAACACGCTTCGCGATGACGCGGATCGAGCCACAGGGTGCGAAATAACTGGTGCTCGTTGAGACCGTTTCCCGAACTGTAATTGTTCGGCGCTTGTTCGATTCTGGGAATCGTCCTCGGTGTCCCGCCACGACGAACCAACCGAACGAGAAACTTTCAGCTGATCTTTGTTCTAATCTGGGGTCAGCTGTTGGGTCAATTGGGAAGCGTTAATAGACGATAAATTGAAATTAATGTCTGTGTTCTCGAGCCCGATGGGACATCCCTCAATGTGGCGCGCGGGCGCAGAAAGAACTTATTGGGATTAGTGCAAAAAACCGTGATGTCATTTTATTCATAGCTTTATCTTCATCTGTTTGCAATGGTTGTAGACATGTGTGGTAGATAGCGTTTCGAACGGCGCTGTAATACGTAGGATAACGGTTCGTTGAAAGATATTGTGAATATGTTTGGACGATTAGCCGTGAAATATCTGCAGTGCTTCGGAGGATCGAAAGAAGGATGTGAAAAAAAAAATGAAAATTCTTGGCCAGGACTATACGAGAGAAGATTGAAGTACTGGTTTTTGTGCTTTGATAGAGAAAATGTATTATAGCGGACAAAGAGACCGGAATAATTATCGGAAGCTTTTATCTCTTTCGTTGTAAATTTGATACGTATTTATTAAGCAAAACAATTAATATTCTTTGATAAGATGAAATACGGTGTTTGAACTGTATAAAGCGGAGTCTCTGGAATATTTAAAGGGGAACGGTATAATTTTGTTTGCAGTGAAGGAGGAATGTCTATAGAGGAAAGATCGAGTATGATCGAGTATTTGTTAAGTGAATTCAGACAACCAGAATCAGACGAACGTCAGAAGGCGTTTTACGCGTTTGTTAGATATAAGATCGGAGTCAATAAAACGTTCGTTATATTGAAGCTCCGAGCTCATACGGCAATAATACTTTGGTGTAAAGCAATAACAATTAAATGTGTACATGCCACCGATAACGTAGAAAACGTGTCGAGATTCTAACCGACGACAGAAAAGTAAGTATTTCTACCGATTCGAAATTATGACAGGGTTTTTAACGAAAACAGAGAAATTAGGTACTTAGTGAAAATCAGAATCAGATTAAACATCGAACACGTACGGGAATGTTACATACAATTCAATTAAACAGCAGCAAAGTTGGGCAAAATATAATCTTATTACAAAATCTAAAGTGCAATTACAATGTAATTTTACAATTACATTGTAATTTTTATAGCAAATTTAGTATAGTCAATTACACTGTAATTGTAATTGTCTTGCAATTACATTGTAACTGTGATTTGGATTATGTAATTACATGATATTTTGCCCAACACTGCACAGCAGGATTTTTCTTCGTTAACCCTAAGAATGCTAACACTAGTTTACAAAAGCGTGATAATTAACTTTTACATTAGTTACAGTCGTTTATTAATAAATTTGGAATACGCATGTAAATTCTTACGGACCCACGTAAAAAAAAAAATATAATTAAACAGAAATTTATATTCCCCATTATGATATACTACATAAAACTTCGAATATACTAGAATGTAACATTCCCGTTCCAATATTTCAGGAGTTATTTACCTCGTACAAGCTGGAAATGCAACACATATCATAGGATACCGAATGTTCAACACGTCCCAAAAATCCTCGCATATCAAAATATCGCCGAATAACACGAGAACAGTATATTCTCATTTTATTTCCCGTACACTTCACAGACGCAGTTCATCAAAGCGACTTTTATTTCACCACTTCAAACCCCCCTATGTTCAACTGAAATTATTGTCGTTCTATTATTAATACACGTTAACGCCTACGCGAGAAAAAAGTCTCGTGTCTGTAAGCGTATGGGCGGTTTCTCAAGGATGTAGCATCGGGTTGTCTTCAAAAAACTTGCCAAAGAGACTGGATCCGTACAGTGGCGTCCAAGAAACGTGGTTCTCGTGGTCGCACGAACCGCCCGAGCAACCGTTGTAATACGTCCTTTCTGCGCTCGTATCGATGACATGCGCTGTATACATATGCATACACACGTAGAGCCCCCCGAGAGCCGAGCAAGTAAAACTGGCGGCGTGGGTCAGACAGCGTGCAGAAGCGGGAACCGTGTCAGTCCGCGCTGAGTCCTCCATGTGGGAGCTGCGCTCTCTTGGTGTGTCACGTGGGGGTTTATTCGTGCCCACTGGTACCCGTTGATTAATTAAATCGCCAGACGCACAGAAGAGCAGCGAGAGCTGATAGATCGAATTGCCAGAGATTTAGTGTGTTAAGTTTGTTAAGTGAGAGGAACAAGAGTATCGTCATCGTTGGAGGTAGCAGCATCAGCCGGTTCGCCACGTTCAGTCCAGGTAGGCCATGCTTGGACAAGTTCCTCTCTCTTGTTTCGTGACCCTGATGACGAGGACCTGTGACAGAAACTTTAGTCCCCTTTAGTGCACTTGTTGGTCCCACGTCAGCAGTCCTTTCAGTCAGGATATCACAAAATCCCTTATATACATATATATATGATTCTTAATTTTGCACGACTAGAACTACTTTGAAATATGTTTCTGTAGAGTATCCAGAAGAAATGTAGAAAGTATTGTAGGTAGAATGCAAAACGCGAGAGAGTTTTTGTAGAACGCCTGACAGTACTTCGGAACAGTAGAAAGTTTAAACTCTTAATGATTTCTAGTTGGACAGTAGAACTTTCGGAGCAGAAAAACGACACAGGAGATTTATAATATTTCTCTTTGATAATCTGGTATCGATAGTCGTGGAAGTAATAATTGTAAACAATTAAATGTAGAATGCAAAATTACTTTGATATCGAACTCGTAAGTGCCATATTAGTTTCGTTGGTTTCGTATTGTTCGACGCCGAGGGTCGTTTTGATTTATTCACCTATCTTCGAGACAAGTTCAGTGACTCGAGCGATATTATCGAATGATTCCAAGATAAGATTCTTTTCTCTACAAAAGATAACAAACAGTCTGGAGCTGTAACGTCTCCTGACGGTCCGTGTGAGCTGAGATTGTAGTTTTTGGTTCCTCGTGGAATTATACAGACTACATGAATTACACGGAACCACGTACATTTGAAAGTATCCGGGACAGGTACGCCTATTGTGGGATTAGATTCGTTTCGACACCGTTATATATTGTCCAGCGATGACTTTACACAACCTACCTTGTACAGAGAAACAACTTAATATATATTATTCAAGATTTAATAATGTAATCAGTGACATCAGTTAACCAAGAGGGTATCCTCCTATTTCATGTTATTCTTACGTTTCTTACAGCGTGATGATTCACTCATTGTATTGAAATTCTTCCTCAACGAGTCTCACAAGACAAGAATGAACGGCATCGCGGCAGATTTGTTCAAGCACGTGCAACAGTTGAAAACAGTGTATCGATGCCCGTTAAAAATGCTTTCTAAATCGTTAAGGCTATATTCGTCCCGTTCTACGAATCGCTTCCTGGATGAGACATTCTCGGAATCCAGACAAATTGATACCGTTACGGTTGTACGGGGATTCGGTGTAGGAAAACTGGCGAACGTCACGTCGCGCCAAGACGAAACCATAAACATCATCGATATATTGTCAGAATGAACAGGGTCACCAACCGCAGAGAGGGCTTCGAACGTTGTAATAATTTTTAAAAGTCTTCAGTAGTAATTTTAGCGAAAAATTTTTTGTAGTAATTTTAGCGGCTCGGTTGACACATCGGACGTTTCAAGAATCGAATATGATTTCTTATAGCCTGGCTCGATTACATGTGTATTCTGTTGCGTACGCGGTACAGGGACAATTACGAGCTGATAAAAACGCAAGGATATTCTAATGATTAACATCCGAAGGTATTTTTTACTCTGGAGGTGTGTTGCCGATGGAAGTTGTATCGGAAAACGGGATTGGTCGGTGTGGTATTCTATTTGCAAACCCGTATAGGCATGATCGTCGTAGATCTTTTTTTCTTTGTCATTATGTCACTGTACCGTTTTTTTCCTGGTTAGGTGTCACGCAGAAACATCGTCGTTCTTGCAATGTGATAAATACGCTGGAGAATTACCTAGCGTAATCGTCGGTCCATTGGATCGAACGCACGTGGAACATCCCGCGCTCAGCCATCACGTGTCGATGATCAGGAATACCCCACGAGAGTGTGACGCACACTCGGTGATTTCCTACCATTGCTCGTGAAATTCATTCATCGGTAGATATTCCACACGTCATCGTGTGTTGTTTTTTGTATGAATGTACAGGCAGTTTTAGTCGTGTGAAATCGTTCAATTATTAAAAGAAGCATTCATCGATCTAATTCCTGGTACACAGACTTCTCGGGTTCTAGTAGTGTTTTGAACTTCATTCACTCTATTCGAGTATAAATAGTGTATACAATGAATTCTTCATGGTTTCTTCACTCATTTTTCATATTTCATTTCGTCATCAGTTGCGAAACTCAACCGTAAGCCATTAACTTTTGCTTATGATACGCAGTGCTCGTATCTATCTCGTATTATCTGGATTATTTCATTTAGCTTTGAGGCTATTAATGCTGCTGTGTTAGTCGAGACAATACTATGGAATATCACTCGACAGTGATCATTATTGCAAGTTTAACAACGTATAATTCGATTGATTAAGTTAGATAGGCATTAATTACCTTTCTTTGTTTTGTTGGTACATTTTCGAAACTCGCGTTGTCATTGCTGACTGTACACTCAACGGAATTATAGGGAATGAGAGGAACAAAAGTCGTGAACAGTTATGTTTACTGTCTCAAATACAAATGTCACACGATGTGTTTACATGCTTTCCGTGGCAGGAACACACCTTGAGAATATATGAAACTCGACGGGACAAATGCTGTACAATAAATCAACAAGAATTATTGTCTTAATATGAGAACGACGAACTTTTGATTTGTGATCGATGATTGCGATAAAATTAAGACGAAAATTTCTAGAGTTACACCATGTTCGAGTGAGCCATTAATCGTGAGGAGTGTCTTACAATGAAATTTGATAATAGATAGTAAATAATGTAATGATTAATGAAACGAAATTTATGTTTCGCGATAATGAAGATAATTTGGTAGCAACGAAGAATTATCTCTAACACAAGATCGTCAAGTACTATTATACAAGTATCGTAAACCATATCACAATTGTAGTAAGTTTAATCTTATCATTATCAGTTAACAACGTAGTATGAATTGGTCAAATTAGAAAATGAAATTAGACGAAGTACGATAATTGTCTTCGGTCGATAGGCTGCGTCGTTATGAAGTATTCTAAACACCGACATTCACGTAAATTGCGTTTGTTTCACGTTTGATCAAAGTGCACGAGGTCTTTAATAATAGTATTATGCATGTCGGTATCTACAGCTCGTGTTATTTACCTCTATGACGATAGTGGAGACAGACTACAAAGTAGTTCCATCGCGAAGCAAACGTTAATTGAACGTGCAATTTGAAATTAACCGTTTTTCACTAGAACACGAGATCCAGTATCCTGTTCTTAGGGTTCTATAAAAATGGAAACGAGAAATTTCGTTCTGGCAGGCGGGAATTATTCATGGCTAACGCACAATCGCGAAAGACCCGTTCTCTATTTCACAATTCCCGCGTGGTTGTACGAGATTGGTGCACATAACATACAAGTTCTACGCAAGACTACGAACGAAACGTTTTTCGATCGACAGTTCGATGAAAGTTTCCGGTTAGTTGGTGGAAAAACTCGTTTATTTCAAAGCAGTTACTTTAATAAATTTGTTCATTATTTTTATATTAATTTCGTTTTACTATTCGAAGTCTCGATTCCGAATTCTATTCTGAAACTATGTTTACTGGTGCATGCAGTTCTTTTCACGCAGTTTACGACCGATAATATTTATTTCACCCCAGCTGTTTTTAAAGCACTTCATTCTGTCTTCTAATCTACGTCGCGTGATACATTATCATATTTTATACACGAAGTGCAATTTCCAAGTTTTATTTCGCCGCTATAATTCTTGTTTGAATTATACTGTCAGTGAATAACAATCATCTCGATTCAATTATTTTATTTGCTGCTTCTTATATTTAAATCCCACCTTTTTCTTACGTAAATGGTTAAACGTTATTTTTCTATGTAGGCACTCCATTCGAATGCGACAATCTTTTTTTTTCTTATAGATTTAATACTACTGCGTAGTTTTAGACGACGCTTTTACGCCGTGTTAGAACGGTGCATGAAATACGTAGTGAATGATGGATCGATGTCAGAGCTGTGTCGAGGACAATATTTCGTGCCTAAAAATTACGAAGGAATTATTTACTGTCGCAAAAATATACACGTATTGTCTCGTTATGTATCAATAATAATATCGTTGTTAACACTGTTGTTAACATAATATCGTTGCTTCTTTTCGATACATTGATAAAACTGGCGAACAATAACCAAGTGCTTACAAATGTTATGAGAACAGTACAAGGCGTTCAACTTTAATACTCTGGTTCTCTTTTACTGTCATAATTCTCGATTTATACATGCAAACTTATATTTAACTTCCACGTTGGTAAGAAATCATGAATCAGTTAATATTGATGTCAACAGACTTTAAATGTGAATTCGATGGTGAACGATAATACGTATCAAGTTTTTAAAATGATCATAAATATGTTTATTTTCCCTCTGATTTTATATCTCAATTCTGTGTATTCTTGGAAGAATTCTTCTTAAAGAAATATTGAAATCTCTGCGCGAGCTGAAACAAGCCCATTATTAATATTTCCATAAAATGTCAAACACAACTGACGAAACAATCATCAGCGGCCCCGTCTGTAAAATTTTCCATTTCGCGATAAGACCTTATTGTCTGCCACTGTACGCGACAGATACAATACACACGGATTTACATGATTCATTCAACTGTGATGCCTCTATCCAGGTCTGTCCAGTTTTCTGCGCAAACGTGAGAAATCCAGAGATTAAATTGAACTCGAATAGATGATCATTATTAATTTATCAAATTTTGTAAACACAAAGAGTATATACTACAAGGAACGTTTTTTTAACAGATTAAGAAGCACATGAAAGAACTCATATCGCGTATCGACGGTACATGTTAGAAAGAAAATAGGCAAAAAATATGTTTCGTGCCATTTACGTAATTAAAAATGTTGTCCAGCGATGATGGGTTCTGCCACTTTCTTAGACTGTTGTCGTATAATCATACTCGGTGCTTATCGCCGTCTTAAGATCGCTCGGAGACGCAGTTTGAGGCGAGTAGGGTACACTCGAAAGAGCAAACGCTACTGCAAGAGTGGCGATCATCGCGTGATGTTTCGTGTTGAGTCTATGAGGTCGCGATAAC